ACTGAGCCACCCAGGCGCCCCTCTTTATCCCCTTTTTTGCACACATGATAGAGTGCTATATGGACTGTCCCTTCCTTTGCGTATTTTGTCTCTGTCTCTAGCTTCTTCCATTACTAAACACATTTATTTTTCATGGCTGCAGAGTATTCCATTGTATGGAGGTGCTATTATTTTTCCATAAAATCTTTACCTGGTGTTTGAAGGGCAAATACTACTTTCTCTACTTACAATATTGCACCAAAGAGTTGTGGAGATACATCATTTTACACACAGAGCCATCGGACTCCGGACATTCATACGACAGAGAAAAAAGTTTTTGTTGAAGCTACTGTAATAATCACACGGAGTCCAGTTATGCTCCTGAGGAAACCACAAAAAAGGAACTGCTCTACCTGTGGGCATTTCTGGAGAGGGGACAGATTTTGTGATCGTCTCATCTTCTCTTTCAGTGGAACCGACAGTATTTGGACTTGTTTTATGCAACACCAACGACTCATTACCTGAGGCAGAGAAGAGGTTGGAAGAACCACATTAGTAACAACTATCTGTCAAAGGGCACGATCCGAACCGAGGAACTCGCTGACTTGCCTTGTGTGACCTGGCAGCCAAAGAGCTCCACTTTCAAGGCTATCCTCTGGTGCCATGTCTGGGGGACAACCCGCACGTATCTGGCCACGATGGGAGGGATGAAATTATTCCTCACTGGATCCCGAAAATTAGAGTTGCCCTGAAACACCTGTAGAATCAAATAACTTTGACCTGAAGAGGCTAGTGGTTAGCACATCCGTCTTTCTCACCCTACTCCTACTTGGCTGTAGGACACCAGAGCCAGGAACCTAGGTCTGTGGCGGTTCTGCAGACACGCTTGGTAGTGCAGACACAAGGCTTTGCCAACAAAGACTGCGTGACCTAACTAGGGTGGTGCTGCAGATCTGTTTTCTGGAAACACACTGATAAAAACATCTGGAGACCCACTCTCCCACTCAGTTCTTTCCTCTCAAGTTTCTCTTACCTTTTCTTTATTACTCGCAATTCCTTTATAGGTCCTCCACTTGGAGTTGCTGTTTTTGAACTTCATCACGAAACTCTTAACATAAAAGTTGAAATTCGACTGTGCGGATCCTGTGGTCATAATTCCTTGTAAGAAAATATTATTGATAGGTTAGATTTTACAATATAGCATGTATTACAATACCAGGTTTCTTTTCTTTCTTTTTTTTTTTTTCTCACTTGAAATCTTAAATCATTTTGCAGGCCAGTTTTTCTCATTTGCATTTTGAAACCTGACCACAGCTGAGTGTTTCCACACTGACAACATGCCATAAAAAGGTTTCTTCTAGGGTGCCCGGGTGGCTCAGTCCATTAAGCATCTGCCTTCGGCCCAGGTCATGATCCCAAGGTCCTGGGATCAAGCCACACACTGGGCTCCCCGCTCAGCGGGGAGTCGGCTTCTCCCTCTCCCTCTGCTGTTACCCCTGCTTGTGCTCTCTCTCTCTGTCAAATGAATAAATAAAATCTTTAAAAAAAAAAAAAAGGTTTCATCTACTCCTTATAGCCACACTTAGAATCTGCACACAGGTTCTTCCCATCAAGACAATGCGAAGCCTTGGGG